GCTGGGGGTGGGGCCACAGTCATCCAAGGGAAAACTCTATGGTTTTCCCTCGGATGGTTGTGCCCCCGCCCCCAGCGTGCCCGGCGTGCTCGCGTCACTTCTGGGTGATGGGGTTGTGGCACTCCGGGAGTGGCGCTGGAGTCCCCCGCTCCAGCACCAATCCGACTTGGGAACCCTAGCCTGGAACCCGAGTGGTGGCAGCATCAGATGACACCTGAGCCATGACAGGACCATACTGATTTAAAAACACCAGTGATCCCAACATTGGCGTCTCTTATGTTCTTATGATTCAAAGAGACAGTGTGTTACAATAGAATTCTCAGTGGGAATACCAGGCATTCACAACTAAACCAAGATTATTGGATTCTACCCAGAGCTTCCAGAATGGTTCAGATATGTCAAAGCATGCGCTCCAGGCCTAAGGGGTAGCAGACTCCACCCCAACGAACATTAATTGATCGGAACATTTGAATAGAGCCAGGCATATTCCTTTTTTCCATGCAACTGAAAATCCTGGAAAAAACAGGGTTCTCCATCACATTTAGAGAGCTATATATACATAAGGATGTAAATTTGTTGTGTTGGCCTCAACATTCCCCACCTTTGGCTTCAACATTCCCGTCCTCCTCCTGGAGTATTCCAATTCACTTTTTTGTGGTTCAGGAAGCCATTCAGGAAGGATAACTAGATCAAGATGAAAAAATAAAAAAGACACTCACCACTGGAGCCCGGCCAAGGCTTCTGAGGTAATAAAGAAGGCCCTTGGTATGGTAAATGGTGGGCTGGAGAGTCGGGCTGGGCTTCAGCCACTGTCTGTTCAAGTCATCTCCACTTAGGGAGCATCGCTGGCTGAAATCAAAGAAGAAGGAAAGAAAACCTAAAATGACTGAAAAGGGAAGCAGAATATTCCTCGCAGGAGATGTGAGAGCCAAGGCTTGTCGGCCCGCTATTTATTCCTGCACATTTACACTTGAGAGGGGATTGAATGAACTCAGATCTCCAGAGCTGCTTATTTTCCAAGGATTCATTTCTGCCTGGTATTCATTATCACTTCCTTTGCCTGCTGAGGCCTGTGCAGTTGGACTTACCAATTTCAGCAGCAGACTTGTTTGGCACTGAGAGTGAAATGAAACAAAATACCTTTTATTTTCACATACATCGGTAACAGCTGTGCCTAAAGGGAGCAGTGCCCTCAAAAATGGCCATCACATGATGACTGCCTCATTGACAGTTTATCGGTGGTAATGTAACGAGTGTGGGGCTCTAATGAGAACTGCCCCCAGACACAGCCTGGAACAGGACATAAAATCAGCATCAAAGGTCATGTGCTATGTTGCGCTATATTTAAAGAATGTTCCATTGTGTGATGATGTCTTTTCAGTTTGAATTTAGAACCATCAATGGACGAATATTCCCTAATACAAACACACAAACAGATAGCTGTATTTTTGTCTAACATTTCAAGTCTCTGCTTTCTGCGATCAGCATTGTAGATTTGTTCATATTGTATACAGATGTTTGCTGAGGTATTCTATGCAATTTATACTGCATTTATACATTCAGTGTCTGCCATTCATCTGTATAATATATGTATCACTCCATCTAGTAGTAAACTGGTTTCCCTCTGGGTGGCTGATGAAACCCACAAAACCAAGCCACCCACTGACAAGGAGGGTTCTGTGCGTACTCAGGTATGCAGGGGTGGGGGGAGACTTTGTATAAGTAGCCACACAGAAGAAGAAGAGGAGGAGGAGGAGGAGGAGGAGGAGGAAGAGGAGATTGGATTTATACCCCACCCTTCACTACCCAAAGGTGTCACAGAATGGCTTACAAACTCCTTTCCCTTCCCCTCCCCACAACAGACACCCTGTGAGGTCGATGGGGCTGAGAGAGCTCTTGATAGAACCTGCTCTTTTTCAGGAACAGCTCATATCAGAACTACGGCTTGCCCAAGGTCATCCAGCAGGTGCAAGTGGAGGAGTGGGGAATCAAACCCGGTTCTCCCAGATTAGAGTTCGCACACTTAACTACGACACCAAACTGGCTCACACACCCAAACAAATGTTAGGAAAGGCTCAGTAAGCAAAGTATGCAAAGATATCCTCCAGAAGGGACACAGTATTGACAGCAATTGAGTCCTAGTCAGTGGAAAGGGGGATGGGTGAGTTGGCCTGCTGGGGACCGAAGATGATCCTGAAGGATGAGGTTTCAGATGGTGGGTTGAGAGTTCCAAACAGTTTCTCCCCCTTTTTGTGATTCTTCACGGGGCCCCAAGGTTCTGTTGTATAATGATGATTTATTAGCAGTCGTATAATGCCAAGGAAGTGTACATTTTATGTGAGAATCAGCATAAATAAATAGAAAATTGTAGGGTCACAGGTTCAACTCCTGCCAGAGGAAAGCAAAACTGAAACAGAGACTTGGGGGTTCACAAGAGCATAGAGAAGAAATTCAAGCTCCAGTTTCCAAGCCCCCTAAATCATATTGCCTCTCTGAACCATCAGGAGGGGCTCTTCTGGTAATCACCTTGTGTTGCTGTCTGTCAGTTTACACACACAAACAGATGCCAACACAAGGTATCTACCAAACACAAATGGCAGGGCTTTTTTTGTAGAAAAAGCCCAGCAGGAACTCATTAGCATATTAGGCCACACCCATAACAACACATCTCATTAGCATATTAGGCCACACCCCCATGTTACAAGGTGTGGTTATCCAGCCACACACACCTTTCGCTTCTTATTCTGTTTACCTTGTTTGTTGTCAAAACCCAGGGCTTTTTTTGGAGCAGGAATACCTTTGCATGTTAGGCCACACACACCTAATGTAGCCAATCCTAATGAGTTCCTGCCACTGGGTGTGGCCTATTATGCTAATGAGTTCCTGTTGGGTGTGGCCAACTTGGGAGCCAGCCGGAACTCCGTTCCTGTGCGTTCCTGCCCCAAAATAGCCCTGACAAATGGTATGTACCAAACATAAGTTACAGAGGTTTATACATTGCCAGAACTCATGGAGATTTTATCTCTCATTCTGCATAAAGCAATTTATTACTTGCTTTCCACTTGGCTTTTTTTTATAACAATGCTTTTAATTTAAAAAGCTTTTTTTGAAAAAAGGAAAACTATGCTACAGATTTCTTCCAGTATCACAAGCTTCATAATAGCATTGTTCTTTTCCTTGATGCAGTATTTTTAATTTAAAGTTGCCCCCACACACACACCCCAAAGCACTTGCCATTTCTTACATCCAACAAGTCAGAATCTGCTATAGAGATATCCATTACTGAAGAACAGAACTTTCTATACAGCCAGCATCCATCTCATCTGAATTCATACAGGAAAGAAGCCAAACTACACAATATAATTTTTTTAACAAGCTGACACTGGGTTCCAGGGGCACAACTCACTTTCACCTCAGTCACACAGCAGCTGCGGGGAATATCGCTTTTAAAACCTGCAGGAGCTGGTGGTTATGGCAGCCATGTGAAGGAGGGTTCCTGCATTCCACACATACACCTTATTTTCTGAGCCCAAATGGCCTCCATATAGGGTTGCCAGGCACTTCCTAGCAACTGGCAGGAGGGATGTAAAGAGATGCCAACCCTGCTTCATCTCCAAGCTCTGACAAGTTCAGAGGCTATCAGGACCTAGCAACAGTGATCCATGCAATGGACAAGATCAGAGGCCACCGGGCTGTTAACTGTATATCTAGTCACATCAGAAATGCTTCCTCTTTCCTCTGTGTTTTTTTTAATGCACACACAAACTATGCACTGGGCATAGTTTCAGAATGTGTGACCCTGAAAAATCCGGTAGTCAGTTTGTACATATGAAACCTGTACACATATGATAAATACATGAGTTGCCCTGTTCACACAACCTGATGACTACACACACCAGGAAGATCACAGGTAGCATGTGTTCTTCGGCTCCTGATATGCATGATTGTAGTGTCTGAAAAGATCTCCTCGTGCCTCTGAATGCATTCTGAAAAAAGCATCTTGAGCCAGAAAGATTCCACAGAGGAAACTCTAGAAGACTGGAAGAACCTGCCCAGCATCACCTACTTCTTTGGAAGGAATGAGTAGAGCAGTTAAAAAACTCTCAGCCAGGCCCCCTAATCCTATCCTCAAGTGCTCTTGATGTGTGGTATCAAATGTCACTGACTGCTCTAATGTGATAGGAACAAGATCAGCAGTCCCGGGATCAAATCTGACCCCTGTAAGGAACCAGGTGGCCCCTCCTGCTGGACATTCCCAAAGAAAAGACATATAAGAAAGAGGGAAGGGCACCTTTGACCAGAGAACTTGCTGAGTATTAGGGGATTTGCATGGCTGGACTGTCAAACCTTCCATCACCTTCTCCAAATGGCCTTCCAGTAAAAAATAATCCCTGACAAAAGGAGAGAGTTTCTCCTCTCAAACTGCAGCACGGAGTTCAAGAACATGGGGAGAGCCAGCTGGGCCTTTAGTCCATAAGCAGAGCCCCTTGCTTGCTGTCAGCATCTGGCTTTCAGAGGTATGCACCTTCTAACCATGGAATTCCTGTTTTGCTGGTGGATTGAGGATGCAAAAACAGCCCATGGGGAAGGACTAAAGCCGCTTGTTCCCCCCTTGCTGCAGCTGCACGCAGAAAAGGACAACTTTGTGTCTGGAAGACACAAAATTCCTATCACACCTCTGATACAAAGTCCTCATGATAAAACGCCAGGACTTTGCAATACGAAGGGAGACCCTTCGAACACAATCCAGAGTCTGCAGAGTTTAAAATCACCAGTCCAATGTTGTGTGCTCAGGGACAAAGAAGGGGTGGGCAAGGGGGAAAGGGGAGGGATAGAAAAAACAGGGGAAAGTGCTAATAGGAAAAAAGGGAAAGTAGAGAGAAACAAAGGCAAATTCAGATGGAGATGCTGATATGGAGAGTGAAAAGCAGATGGCATAATATAAAGAGGAAACGAACGGGGACATGAGAGAATCAGAGACAAAGAGAACAGGAGGGAGTTGCAAGTCACTTCTCAGGGAGAAAAAAGCTGCTGCAGACAGGAGATAAAAATGATTCCAAAATCTTCTGCCCATTACAGATAACTAGAAAGACAGGGCCCATCATACCGAGTGAGTGATGTTAGGACCGATAATAATAGTACCTGGGGCACAGCCAGCTATAAAAATCTAAAGGGACACATTGTGTTTGATAGCTGGAGAGCAGCTTTGCAATTCTCCGCGCATCCTAATAAGATCGAGGCGGCTGCAGCGGCGCTGGGCGAGAACATCTATAGAAGAGGGGAAAGAGATGCAAGCACACACCAGGATGCCTTTGGAGCAGCATGGGGCAGCATCAATGCCATGTGTGGCTAAACGGCTCCTGCCAAGAGGGGAAGGAGAAAGAGCCTTTGTGTGCGTTATGGAATTTCAGAGCTGAATTTGCAAAGGAAGCATAAGAAGCCGTCCTCTCTCTTTTCGGCCCACCTTCGAAGACGGAGGCCACATTTCCAAGGATGCCTTCTCTTCCAGCGCTGCTTCTTGAGTGGCGTCCCAGGATTGGTGGGATGCTTCTTCTCCTGGTCTCCTCCGTGAGAACAATGGACCAACTTATAAGTGATGTTCCCTATTTATTTTCTTGTGGTATCCCTGTATATTTTGGCCGATGGTTTTTGGGCTTTGCTTTCCACTGTTGCTTTTGTCGATTTCATTTGCATCAGTGTTGTATGTTATTTACGAGCAATGTTTGCAGTATTTATCAAGGCAATGTCAAGAGCAGAAGCATCAGACTGATTCCTTGGTGCACAAACACCACTGGAAAAATGAAGGTGCTTTTGGGATACTGTTCAAGGCAAAGAAACAGAAAATGGCA